CTTGTAGGTCTCGTACTCGAAGGACCTTCAGGGAGAAGACCGTCACTCAGGGAGTCTAAGACGTCGTCACTCAGGGTTACCAGAGAAGTCATCCAAGTTACCGTCACTCAGAGAGTCAGTGACATCATCATTTACTCAAGTCATATTATTTTCCCATTGTACTTTCATATCTTTACCCATATATATGTTTCACTTCCTTCCATAAAACCTTTTGAACCAAACTCTCCTGTTGTTTTAGTCCAAATATTAAACAACCTTCCTCATTGCCTCACTGACTCCTCGTTTCACTTCCATGTGTCTTACTTCTTCCCTTTTACACTTTCCTTCAGCATCTGGTAATTAATTCTCACTTGCTCAATTTTAAAGAGGTTTTATCACGAGGTGTGTGTGTGTGTGTGTGTGTGTGTGTTAACAGTGTCTTTAAACCCTGAACAGTGTCTTTAAACCCTGAACATAAATGTAAACAAAACTCAGGTGTGTTGGAAGCCATAATTCCCTAAAGAAATAATCAACACTTGTTCTTTACTCACAATGTCTTTGATATATTGTCTGTTAACTTACACTCATCATCACCCACGTACACATACACACAGAAACACTTACAGTACACACACACACACACACAGAAACACTTACAGTACACACACACACACACATGCACACACACTAATACACATATTCCCAACACTTAACTAACAACCTCTATACATAGTTACAAATTACCACAGCCAACACAAGTAGCCACAACCTTAATTAAGAGCCTGCCACACACACACACACACACACACACACACACACACCCACACACACACACAGACACACACACACACACCCTCCACACACACACAGGACACACCCTCCACACACACACACCCTCCGGCCACACACACACAGACACACCCTCCACACACACACACACAGACACACCCTCCGGCCACACACACACACACACACCCACACACACACACACACACCCTCCACACACACACACACAGACACACCTCCACACACACACACACAGACACACACAGACACACCCTCCACACACACACACCCTCACACACACACACAGACACATACACACACACACACACACACCCTCCACACACACACACACAGACACACCTCCACACACACACACACACCCTCCGCCACACACACACACACCTCCGCCACACACACACACATCTCCACACACACACTCACACACAAACAGACACACCCTCCGCCACACACAGACACACACAGACACACACGCACACCCTCCACCTCAGAGTATCAGCGAGGCGGCACTCACTTATTATACCCAGAAAGCATATTTAACACAACAATACTCAGAGTTTTGTGATGATGTCAATAATTATTATCAAACACTAAGAATACCGAGCTGTGAAAAAGGCCCCGTTAAATGTCTCAGTTAAGGCGGATGAGAGAATGTAAACACTGGAGTGAGTCAGTTAATGTAAGCTTTCTGAGTACATACTTGGGTACTACGGATTAGTCAAATAAAAATAACTAAAATAATGACATCTACTTTATTCATTAATGTCTTCTACATGTTCTCTACGAAATAAAATGGATGATTAACAAAATAAATCATAAAATAACTCAAAATAAATGTCTGCTGCAGCTGAGGCCTCGCAAGACATGATGTAACTGAGGAATGTGTGCGAGTTGATACAGTATACATGTCTCATCCGCCAGGAAGGTTTATCCCGCTAGCCAGTCCCCTCACGCCTCGCTGGTGTGTGTGTGTGTGTGTGTGTGTGTGTGTGTGTGTGTGTGTGTGTGTGTGTGTGTGTGTGTGTGTGTGTGTACTATTGACAGGAGAACGATAACTCACTATATCAATCATAAGTCAAATAGTGTCCTACAGTATCTTAAGAAAAGGTAATAATTTAACCTGACTATAAAGAAAAAGTATCGATAATTTGAATGTATTTTGTACTATCAATTATGTAAACATGTACAGTAATTTACATATTCATTCTACTGTGTCACTAAGGTCTGCCATAAGTAGTAAAATCTCTAAGTAATTATACCCAATGGTGTTATAAGTAACGAGGCGTGAGTGAGTGACAGGCTTCAACTAACCACTATTTACTACAACACACTTAAGTCATGTAATCAAAGCACTACCACTACTTTCTGAGTATAATATCACTATGTCAATACTATACTACTAAATACAAAAATAAGCTCCTCACAAAGCTTAAAATCATAATATTCTGTTAATTCTACATTATTCTTCACTTCAGTTACATCTATCAGTCAAAGCTTAAGAGTATATCACTACATCACTCACCATCAGCCACATCCACTTAACACTCGGTATAAACATCCTCCACGCTGACTGAACCTGGAATGATTATTGTTGTACCCTGGAGCTGTGACGAAACTGAGATGAGACACCATGGTGGAGATAAGAGAGACACTATGGTGGAGATGAGAGACAATAAACCTGGGAGACGAAGGAGAAATTAGAGGGAATATAACAGGAGGTCTTATCAGTGAGCTTTATCACACTAGCCTTAAAGTACGGCAGTGTTTAGTATTATATAACATCGTTTTTACTTCCCTGACGGAGGACCTACAGCTTCTTCGTGTGAATCTATTAATTGATTTAGGACTTTTGATCCAGGTTTATTCTGGGAAGTAGGCATTAAACTTCTGGCCAAGATCATCCACCATCGACCCTAAATTACCTATCAGATCCTTTAGCTCGATCTTACTAGCGTCGATACGTTTTTCTTTGGGTTGTGCTGATGGTACAGGAGGTGGTGAGACCGCAGGAGAGCCGAGCGTGTTGAGAGTGACGTCCTCGTTCTCCAGGCACCGGTTCATCACATCGTCCAGGTAGGTGATGCGATTCAAGATGGATGACTGGATATGAACTTGATCGTAAGGTTTTATGATATTTCCTTTGTTTTCCGGATTGCTGCTGTGATTTAAATCATCGATGAGCCACTCAACTTCACTGAGAGAATGAGTTCGTGAGCTGTGGAGTGAGCTGTGGCGTGAGCTGTCAGCCTGGTCGCCTGTGAGATGCACGGCGGGTGACTGTGAGTGATCTCTCACAACACTGGCCGTCTTTTCAAAAAACTTAGCCACATTCTCAGCGCTGAGTGTTCTGCTTTTCTCATTCATACTGCTGACCAACTCACCAAGATCGCTTATCAAGTCCTTCAGTTCCCCACGTCTCACGTCCACACGTGCACCACAGCTCACAGGAGACAAGACAGCGAGGGGTGAAGGAGAAGCCGACTCCTCGTTGTCAGACACTCCCAAGGTGTTCATCGTCACGTCTTCGTTTTCCAGACATCTATACACAAGATCTTCAAGAAGGTCAATCCTGGTTGTAATTTCTTTGTTGATTTTAGGCTCCCAAGATGACAGTTCATCAAAATCTTGATTACTTATACTAAGAGAATTCTCAGTTAAGTGATCTGAGTCCCCACACTCGGAGTTCTGTGTGCTCGTGGAAGAAATTGGACCTATATTAAACACTGGATCACTCGAGCGCTCAAAAGTTGTAGCTCGTGATGGTTTTTCTTTTCTTCTTACAGAACGAGAACCTCTTTCCTGAATCGTGTTGGCTGCAGCTTCACTTTGCAATGATGAACTCTGACGGTGTGCTTCAATTACCGTGTTGTTTTTAACACTACCCTGACTATCTGCTGTATCTCCATACTCCATTATTTCTGCTGCATGAGCTTTGTTTTCATTCAGCGCAGCAGTGTGACGAGAAATGACACTTTTATAATAATTAAATGGCTTTATTTCAACAACATTGCCGTCATGTGTTGCCCCAGACACAGCAGTTCCTTTCCTGTTCATATTTTCTCGATGATTAACATCAACCTTCTTCTCCCCAGATGTATTTTGTTCACTGATAGGAATTAGTTGTTGCTTCCTCACGTCTTGTTGGTTACCTGCTGATTTTTCCATTCTCAGTCCTCGTAATATATTTACAGCAGATCCCCCTAAGGAGAAAAATCCCTTCTGATTGGCTGGAGGTGTATCACTTACCACCTGCCTATACTGATCCTCTAAATCTCTCTCAGAACTCTCGGTATCAAGTGACGTGATTGAAGACTTGCTATTTTGTGTGGTAGTCGAGTAATTACACGAGGAGTCATCATCCTCTACTCTCCCCGAGCGATCAGAAGAGCCATCTTCATTGTGACTAGTTCTTCTTTTTGTACTTAAGTTCCCCAGATGGGTCATGCTCGCTAGCCCACCGCAGATAATTCTGAACTGGTTAGCAATTGCGATCCTGCCTCGTGTTGTCCACTGTCCACCTGCGGCCGTTACCTCATTCTCTACGCTGTTTATCTCACTATCTATGTCTCCCTCACTACCCGGAGTCCTACCGTCCTCTACCCTGCTTACTTCACTCCTTCCGTCTCCTTCGTCACTGATATACCTGCCTACCTGCGGAACTGAGGGTTCTCCGCAACTGAAATCCTTTATTCCCTGATTCGCTGCGGCAGCTTCATAACTCCTCATAAACTTTTCATACGTAGGTGTCGCGTTCCTCACACTCCCTGTTACTTGGCCTACTGCAAGGTCCTCATTAGCTGCGGTTCCCTCATTATAGAAGTCCCTCATAACCTGGTTAGCTGCAGTTTCCTCGTTAAAGACACCCCTCATAACCTGGTTAGCTGGCATTCCCTCATTATGGACGCCCCTCATAACCTGGTTAGCTGGCATTCCCTCATTATGGACGCCCCTCATAACCTGGTTAGCTGGCATTCCCTCATTATGGACGCCCCTCATAACCTGGTTAGCTGGCATTCCCTCATTATAGACACCCCTCATAACCTGGTTAGCTGGCATTCCCTCATTTTGGACGTCTCTCATAGCCAGGTTAGCTGAAGCTGCCTCATTACAGAAGGACCTCATCACCCGGCTTGCTGTAACCCCCTCATTATAGACGTCCATTATTGCACAATTATCTGAGCCACTGTCACTCCCGTTACTCACTGCTTGGTCTATCATGGCTGCCTCACCTCTCCCCCATCCTCGCTGGTAAGAAGGTGACCCATCTTCTGCAGCGATCCTTACTAACTGATTGCTTATCTTTACTTCATCGTCAGGAGTCCTCAACGTCGGAGTACTCAAGCTCATCTGTTGGTTCACCGCCATATTTGTACATGTATCCGCCTCTACATGATCAGCTACGGGAGACTCATTTCTCCCTGTCCATAAGTAATGACCCATAGCTGCTTCATCCATGTTCACAAGTTCTGTGTTAGTTGGAGAGCGTTCATCGTCTGCGAACACTTCCTCTTCGGCAGCGGCTTGTAAGTTGTGAGTAAGTGGTGAGTTACTCGGCGTCGTCCATGAATGATAGACATGAGTTGTGGCAACGAAGTTTTGTCCTGAACAACATGACTCCGTTGAGGGAGAATTCATTGTCCCTGTGTGATCGCTGTCTGATGAAATGCCCCTGATCGTCCCTAAGTAATGTGCTGGAGTTAATCCTCCACTCACAATCCCTAACTCAGTCCAGAGAGAAACAGACCCAAGTAACCGCGATGGGTGTATGAAATAAGGGCTAAGTGGTCCTAACAGGCTGGTGGTGGACTGATCTAGCGACAGTGTACCTGACCTATTCGATAAAAAGGGAAATCGATCTTCCATAAGCTCAGACATACATGTTTCTGTATCTGAACTACTGAAGTCTTCCTCTCCACTCACTTCCTGTATTAGTGTATCGTCGTTCTCAGAATCATCATTATCAGAATAAAAAGTTTCTAATCTCCTAAGTTGCAACCTTAACAGCTCCTCATACTGAGACTGTGAGCTCTTTAGACTCACACTTTCAATAATCATTCCAGATTGAGCAGACAGCTCTTGAATATCAACTGGAGTGCCCACAAGTCCCCTTTCAGGAGCGCTTCCCTGATCACAGTTGGGGATAAACATCCCCCCATTAGTACCAAGGTTTTCGTACCCTGTAGGACTCTTAGCTTCTTCGAAGAGGATTTTGTCAGACTCTTCTCCAGGTTCTGACACTCCATAAGCGTTCTCAGCCTTGACACGGAAGCGATACTCTGAGCCGACGATGAGGTCACTGAGCTGTGTCCAAGTGATGCGAGAGGATGCAGCCTTGAGCCACACATCCCAACCCACCTGTGGTAAATAACTCAATATGTTATACACATCTTTATATCCATGACTTGTTTAATAATAAGAAGCAATTGAAGTTTCTGTTGGTTGAATGATAAGATGTAACCATTCAACACTCTTACGAATATGATATTTAAAGAGTAAGACATTTATTACATAGAAGATGATTTATTAAGCTGTAGTACGAGAAACACATTGATCCAGTGAGCTCTATTACAAGAGATATACTTTTCTAACGAGCTTCAGTTCAAGAGCCAGAATGATATAGTGAGCATATGATTTAGTGAGCCTTCATACTATACTGTGTAAGAATGATCAAGTTAGCCCAAATGGAGGAGTCATGACAACTTAGTGAACTCCAAAACAAGAAAAAGGAAACATCACTCCTGGCCGACGACTTACCCTGAAGTACTCTACGATATAATTGGATATCCTACAGCCACCGTCGTCCAGTGGGGGGTCCCAGCGCAGCGTGACCGAGGTGCCTGACACGTCTGTGATGGTGGGCAAGCTGGGTGCGTCCGGTCGATCTGAGGAAATACTTTAACTGTCATAGTCACGTCAAGAACCAAACATACATCCGTCTGAAGGTCACCAATACCCATCAGAAAGTTTAATACAATGATCATAGAAGAGTGTGTTGTTGTTAGTCTCAGATAGAAGGTGATGTGAACGAAGGTATGTAGCGAAAAAATATGCTCTGACCAAGTGAAATGAGGAAAGAACCATCTCCAGTAATGCAGTGGGAGAAGACGTGAGCAACAGGCCCTGGATGGTGCTTCTCAACACTAAAAATAAAGAGTTTGCAAGTCCTTCATGAAACAAAGGCCAAAATTCACTACATTGTTCTCAACAGTCAACAGCGACCAGCAAAAACAATACAACACTGCTAAATTCAAGTAACTGCAGACATATAAGAAATGTACAGTAGAAACTAAACCAAGATATATGAAAGAAAAAGCTAAAAACTAATGTGTATTATTAATATCAAGAAATACAAATGTCAAGGACCTGTGACGGTGACGAAGAAGGAGGAGGTCTCATTCCCCTGCGAGTTAGATAGCTTGAGGGTGTACATGCCCTTGTCCGTCCTGCAGGCTCCGGCGATCTTCAGAGTGATGTACTTGTCAGACACGTCCATAGTGTGTCGGTCATCACTCGCAATCTGAAGGAGGAGGACCTTTAATTAACACACGTGGTAGGTGTGTTAATAAGAAATGAGGCAGTGACAAGTGAGGTGAGTGACAGATAACGCAAATGAAAGATGATGCTGGTGACAGGTGAAGTGCATGACTAGGTACATGACCATTGAAGGAGAGACCCACCTCCTTGCCGTTGTGGGTCCAGGCGGCCTGTGGCTGAGGTCGGCCCGTATAGGGTACTCGTAGTCGGATAAGTTCGTCTGTATCGAAAATTAGTCCTTGTTCGTACTGTGGTGGGAGCCTGACCTGAGGCGGGGCTGTGGGAGAGGGGCGGAGTGTATTAAAAAGTGTGTAAATACAATAACAGTGAAATGAAACGATGGCCCAGAAGATCATCACTTGATAATTATGTCAGCCAATAAGAGCATCATCAACTTCCATCTTCTCTTCGCCATACATCATCATTATATTCTGCTCAGATGACCCAAGTAGCACATGTAATTAATCAGAAATAATTTTCAATCTAAAATAACTTTTTTTTTTCAGCTAACTAATTTACAGAGTTATTCAGGAGAAGCAGTGTGTCGTGTCGCCAAAACTCTTGGTGGACGGAAGCGGTATCTGGCAATTTACATGAGCAGTTATGTCATGTGGCAATAAAACTGATTGTATTGCTATATAATAAAATACTGTTTTAAGTCGTTAATTAAAAAAAATATGGTTATTGATGTTTCAGTAAACATTAAATGTTATATCCCAAGTATTTCGTATCTAAGGAGAGAAAGGAAAAGATTTACCCGCAAGCGATAATTGAAGAACCATTATCAACTTAGTATAGTTAAGGATAGCAATAAACACTAACATGTCCAAAAAAGGGTATTTTACATATCAAGGGGTATTTTCCAATAAATAAACCCTCTTTTGCCTAAAATAGCCTTCTTTTACCCAATTTTTTTTAGTGTTGAATATTTTGCCATAATTATTCTCAAGGAGTTAAGTCATTATATTCAAAGTGTTAAAGTATACTGATTACCACCATTAGAAGACCAGCGAGTGAAGCAAAAAGTATCAAAAACGACAGAATGAATACAATACAATATACTGTACGTAAAAGTAGTATTATGACTGAGCAGTTTTACACAAGTTACAACACATGAACCTCCCCATAAACTCAAGAATCACCCAGGGTCAAAATGGACGGCGTACCCCTGAAGCCAATGTTAGGTCGTTACTTACCCTCCACCCTGAGAGTAGCCTGAGAGGAGGCCACTCCCACACGGTTGGTGGCCCTCACTCTGATGTCCCCCTCGTCCGTGAGCTTCGCCTCCTTCAGCACCAGCGTGTATCGATCTCCCTCCACACGGAACTCGAAGCGTCTTGTGTCATACACTTCAAAACCGTCCTTGTACCAAGTGATGTCTGGCAGCGGTGTGCCGATGATGTCCACAGAAAACTCGACCTGGAAGAGTGACATCTATTAACAAGATCAATAAAACAATTTATGTAGTACTGTATATAGTTTTCTAAATCCAGAAGCTTTGTGTACGTGGTATAGCCATATCAAACATAGAATATCTTCAAACATGATGCAATCCACCTCAAAGTGTTGAAGAAAACTAGAACATCTTAATATAAAAATACAACTTCTTTTCTCCTTTATAATCGTCCTAATATTCACAACATCTTGTGAATCTAGTCAGCAGGTGAGTTTCCTACCCTCTGGCTCTCCACTGCGATGGCATCTCTCAGTTCCCTGAGGAAGTGGGGTTCGGTGGCCTCCTGGTCAGTAGAGATGCTGACTATCTCTGAGGGCGGGGATGGGTCAGACATGCCCACAGCGTTCTCTGCTGACACTCTGTGGGGGTCGGGAGGAGAGTGAGGGGGGGCAAAACAAACTTATCAGTCAAATATATGAGTATTCTAAGATAAGGGACGGCAAAAATTAACATACTGCATCGTAAAACCAACCAGTAAACCCTTGAGCTGAAACAAGATGTGACAAAGTTTATACAGTACATCATTAATTCAACATCTATGGAACAAAACCTGATCTTTTAGACATTTTGCAACTTCTATAACTGTCCTTAAGGTATACTAAGTTAACAAATAAACACAACCAACATAAACCCAGACTAAGTTAAAAACGAGGAAGTCATTGAGTTACTTTAAGAGTTTTACCTCTTCCCCCGGCACCAGCTGGCCACCTCGCTTCTCGAAATACCTCTGAGTAAGCCAAGCCATTCATTCTGGCCACTCCTGCCAGATACTGCTGCTGGCTGTCCTGTCTCGAGTCTACCACACTTGAAGTGCTCAGATCCCATCAGTGTAAACTGTCTTTCTAAACCTCAAGACAATAAATATTGTATTATGTCGAAGTTCTCAGTCCCACGAGATAGTTACAAAATAATTCACTCCTGCCAGATGGAGCACCACCTCGTCCTGTCATACTGAGGAGCTCAACACCCCATAACCACCCTCACATTTTGACCATTAACACCGCCATTACGCCATTATTTTAAGCCTCCCATTGCACAGTGATAGTCACCCTTGTCCCTTGCCTTCAAATACATGGAATCTGGAGTTCTTCTGCATGTCTAAAACTACCTGTATCTAGATTCTGCTACAGGGTATCAGTAAGGAAGGTAACCAGCACCTTCATTACATGACTTGGTGGTCTTTACTGTACTTAAATAAAACCCATTAACTTTAACTACTCCAAGAAAGACAACAATTATCTTCCTGACAGGCTAGAGAGCTCTTATTATTTCCCAGCAGAACTTAAACTACCGGCTATATATAAGGTGTTCAAGATAAGGCAACCACCACCTTCCCTGATAAGCTAAAGTTGGTCCTATTGTTCCTGGTCATAACTAAAAATACTCAATACTTACACGGTGTACCATGGGAGGCAGCCAGTACCTACTCAACGTGGGGAAACTGACACTAAACTTCCTCAACATGACTTAATCTAACCAGCACCTATAACGTTCATGAAGGGAGCAACAACAAGTACAGTCCATACACCAACACACTCTTCGCTCCCACACCAGAACATAACACTATCCAGTATACGTTTAAGGGTGACCAAGGGATGAATGAGGCAGCCAACACCCACCTGAAGCGGTACTCCCGGCCACCGATGAGGTTGGCGACGGCGTACTCAGTGTCCTTGATGGGCACCAGGTTCACCCTCACCCACATCTCGCCCTGACCTTCACTCCGCTCGATGATGTAACCTGTGACGACAACAACAGTGGTAAACATCTCATAAAGCTATGTCTCTCGCTCATAATAACACACACTACTCACAACCATCATCACATAATAACACACTACTCACAACCATCACATAATAACACACGCTACTCACAACCATAATCACATAATAACACACTACTCACAACCATCACATAATAACACACACTACTCACAACCATCACATAATAACACACGCTACTCACAACCATCACATAATAACACACGCTACTCACAACCAACACATAATAACACACTACTCACAACCATCACACAATAACACACGCTACTCACAACCATCACATAATAACACACTACTCACAACCATCACATAATAACACACGTAACTCACAACCAACACATAATAACACACTACTCACAACCATCACATAATAACACACACTACTCACAACCATCACATAATAACACACGCTACTCACAACCATCACATAATAACACACGCTACTCACAACCATCACATAATAACACACGCTACTCACAACCATCACATAATAACACACGCTACTCACAACCGTCACATAATAACAACACACCACTCACAACCATCACATAATAACACACTACTCACAACCATCACATAATAACAACATGCGCCACTCACAAATCAATAAGACAATAACAACACGCGCTACTCACAACCACATCACATAATAACACACGCTACTCACAACCATCATCACATAATACAACACACACCACCCACAACCATCACATAATAACACACTACTCACACAACCATCACATAATAACACATAATACTCTCAACCATCACATAACAACACACGCTACCACAACCATAATCACATAATAACACACACTACTCAACCATCACATAATAACACACACTACTCACAACCATCACATAATAATACACACTACTCACAACCACCACATAATAATACACACTACTCACAACCACCACATAATAACACACAGTACTCACAACCATCACATAATAACACACTACTCACAACCATCACATAATAACACACACTAGTCTCAACCATCATCACATAATAACACACACTACTAACAACCATCACATAATAACACACGCTACTCACAACCACCACATAATAATACACACTACTCACAACCATCACATAATATCACACGCTACTCACAACCACCACATAATAATACACACTACTTCACAACCATCAAGTAATAACACACACCACCACAACCATCACACATAATAACACACACACCGCCATGTAAATTCATCAAGAATAGTAACAACACAAATTACTCACAACCATCAATATAATAACACACACCACTACAACCATCACATAATAACACACACCACCATAAACCACATCACATACACACACACCACTCACAACCATCACATACAACACACACACTACTCATAACTCATCAAGAATAATAACACACACCACCATAACCATCACAGGAGGTAAGACAAATTACTCACAACTGTTATGTTCTAAATAAGTTCAATATACAGGAGCGAACACAAACACCTGTATAGATTTTGTAGGTTCGATTTACTGGATAAGAGATATGTACACAAGGGGAGTAGTGCCCTCCGACCTGTCTGCTTGTCAACTGCTCTATAGACGACGTATGGCAAGTGAGACATTAACAGCTTCCATACGTCGCCAGGCACATTAATTAGGCATGTGGGACATCTTAAATATATTGCCACACGCTACTAGCTAGGCTGAATAAATAGTACATAAATGGAGCACATACATAATATACATAGCATAATATAAATACAGCATACAGAATATACATACACCTCCCTCCCCCCTATATGCTCATAGCAAAGTCTTGAGCGGACCTTTTCTTTTGGATCCGTTCTGAGCGTCGAGGGACTAGATCACTGGGAAGGGTATGGGATTCAACACTGGTGGCGGGGTCAGCAGAAGGCATTGTTACGGGGCGGAGAAAACGGCGGTTCCTCCACCACACACGACCACTGGGTAACCGCACCTGGTAGTCCCGTGACCTACCGAGACCCATGACTACGCCTACTTTGTCCCAACGTAGGGAGGTCGGGTCCTGAACACGGACTTGGGTGCCGACACTCAACCTGGGGAGAGAACGGGCGTGGTCGTTGTAGCGGGCGACGACGTCCTGAACACGTTCGGCGGCTCGGCGATCACAATCCTCTGTCTTGGCCTGCCACTCCTTGGAGAAGGATTGAGGGTGAGCAGGGACACAAGAACGAAGGGGGCGTCCATACAAAACCTGGGCAGGGGAGCGTCCGGTGTAGTTAGGTGTGTTGCGGAGTTCAAGAAGACCCCGGTCGAAGGCCTCGCAGTCAATGTTCCCAGAAGGGGCCACCTTAAGGATGAGGTGCTTCAGGGATTTGACAGCAGCCTCAGCGTGGCCGTTGGACTGCGGGTAATGGGGCGATGACAACACATGCCGGACTCCCCATCGGTCAAGGAACACAGCAAAGTCCCGGCTTGTGAACTGAGGCCCTCCGTCGGTTCGCAGGCGTACAGGAACGCCCACGTCACGGAAGTAGTGGCGGAACTTGCTGATGGTGGCGGCAGACGTCGTGTCATTACCGCACTTGATGACAACCGGCCAACCAGAGAGACGGTCGGCGATAACAAGGAAGGACTTTCCTGACACAGAGAAAAAGTCGGCCGACACAGACTCAAAGGGGCGGGTGGGGTTGTCGTCACTCATAAAGGGTTCCTGCTGCTGGCTGGGTTGTAATACGTGGCGGGGCTTACACACCTGGACAGCATTGGAGATGTCGGGGTCGATGCCAGGCCGGAACACAGTCTGTCTTGCACGTCGTTTGGTGGCCTCAGCTCCACGGTGACTGTCGTGAAGGCGAGCCAAGACGTGGGGACGTGATGCAGCAGGGACGACTACCGAAGGAGAGGTGTCACTGGCCAGCGGTAGGGGTAGGGCGGCAGCAAGGTAGTTGCTGCTCCCTTCGTGTACCCTGTTGGCGTATTTTACCTCGAGAATCGGTGTTGGGAAGTCCTGGGAGATGATGGCCAACTCTTGGCAATGTCTGTAGGACAGCAAAGGAGTCGGGACACCGTTATGCACATCAATCCAGGCTTCACACGACCTGTTGCCAAAGGTGACTTGTGCTCGGAGTGAACCTAGGGCTGGGGCCATCTGTGAACCATCTGCCGTGACGCAGAGGTCCTTGGGAGGCGGTCCTAGATCGCTTGGAGAGAGCCCCAAGCATTGCAAATGCTGGGGACCGATGACTGTAGCATCAGCGCCGGTGTCAGGCAACATCTGAAGACGGGATGACACACTGCCATAGGTCACGATGACACTGATGTACTGGGGAACTTTGGTCCTGGGATGCGAGGAGTACACCCTCCTAATATGGGTCGGGCTTTGTCCAGGGTCGTCGTGCTTCTGATTGGAAGACTGTGGGCGGCCCTCTCTGGTGGAAGGGAGCTGAAGCTTCCGCCGACGCTGTCCCTTGGGTTTGTGGGTAGGGCAACACTTGTCATAGTGGCCCAGACGACCGCACACATTGCACTGTACGTACTTAGCTGGGCACCGTACTGTGAGCGACCAGTGGCCCTTACGGTCACAACTGTTGCAGGTAGACTGAGCAGCTGGACACACCTGTGTTCCGTGCTGCTTACCACAGTTGTTGCAAAATGAACCGGGCGTGGACGTGGTGGGCGAAGGCGTAGGAGCAGACTTCTTGTCCTTCTTGTACCGGGAAACAGCGCGTACAGCTGTAGAGGGAGCTCGAATGGCAGAGGTGGCACACCTGGCAGCCTCATAGGAGCGACATATCGTCAACACATCCATGAGAGAAGAGGAAGAGTCGAGGGAGGTGAGGCGTTGGACAAGTTCCTCGTCCTTAACACCCATCAAGATCACCTGCTTCAACTGGGTCTCCTCGCACTGCTGGTGGTGGCCTAGACATATATCTACCTCTTCCGAGGCTCTCTTAAGACGTACATAAAAGGCGTCAAAAGTCTCACCCTCCATCTGTCTGCAGCTAAGCAATTCCCTCCTGCGCAGAGCTTCATTCTGCTGTCCTTTGATGTGCCGTTGTAGAATGTCCAGTACCTCCTCTACAGACAGCGAAGAGGTCGGAGGTACCTGCAGCGTATGTTCTAAGACACGCTGAATTTCCAAGGACAGGCACATACGCAGCTGGATGAGTTGTTTAGGCTGTGACAAACTCTGGAGATCCACCATTGTAGAATAATCAGTCCACCGTCGCCGCCATTCACGAAAAGTCTGGAAATTCACATCAGGCTTCAAGATGGGCGGTGTTTGAGCTGCTGCTTTAGGTGGGGCTGGGGGGCGTGAAGGAAGCATTGATGAGGTATCTGAACCAGTCAGTACCGAGGCAGTGTTAGAGCCAGGGGCTTGGTTAACAGTGAGGCGAGATATCAAAGCTTCAAACCGTGCACTGTCTTCCAATCTCCGTTGGTGGTCTCTCTCTGCCTCTGCTTGCCTTCTGTGTTCATCCGCCACACGTCTGTTAGCTTCATCCTCGCGCCTTTCATCTCTCATAAACTTCATTAAAGCAATTATCTCTGGAGACAACGCTGAATATCGAGGTGAAGGGCTGCGCGATGTTGTGGGAGCTGGAGCGTCATGGTCAGCCTGGTCATCCATCTCTGCGGAGCTATCATCCGACTGACTCATCCTGGCGGCGCTGGCTCCACGGCTACGTAAGGCACGAGACATAACTACTTCATCTGTGTACCGTGTCTTAAATCAGTGTTGACCGGTCAGCCCGTCGTATCAACAAGATCTCAGACAAAAAATTAATTAAATACACAGATAAGTAGGTTATATATATAAAATATATATAAGGGAGCCGCCGCGGTCAGTGAGTGTGTACGTGTGTGTGTGTCCCGGGCAGTGAGAGCGGTCTCCTCGAGCTGTGAAGGGGTGTGGAGACGACGCTGTGAGGGGGGGTGGAGACGACTACTAGCGGCAGTACCCTCCAGGCTTCGTGAGGGGAGGTGTA